GCTGGCAAATTCTGGGAAGAACCTCTACCTCTGTGGCTGGGGAGAGGAGCTGCTTCCTTAACCCATCCTTTGGCTCAGAGGGAGGTGGTGGGGTTCAGGAGTGGGGGAGGGGGCTCCCCCACAGTGAGGCTGTGATCCAGATAGGAACACAGGTTGCCTGAGGAGTGGGGGCAAGAAAACCAGAGGGTTCTGGTCCCTCCTTCCTGTTCTGCCCCTAAGACCAGCATGGCCGGGGGTCTGGGCAGGCAGGGCACTCACTTGGGTTTCTCTAGGGGGTCAGGTTCGTTGCGGGCCAGGCCCACTGGATTCTTCTCAGCCTCCTCTGCTGTCAGCAAATGCAGCTCCGCCTCCACTTTGCCCTGAAGAGAACAGAAAGGTCCCAGGGCCTGGCCACTCCACCCTGGCCCAGCCTGGCCCACTCCCCAGCAGGAGGCGGTGCCCACCGTGAGCTCGAACTCGTCATTCTCATTGCGGGCCAGGAGTGGCCACCAGCCTTTGACCCGCTTCTGCTTGAAGATGGAAACCAGGGGCACGTCCACCTCCCCGGTGGCCATCTCCATGGTGCACTGCTTGGCTGTCTTGGCGCCCCGCGGGAACCGGTTCAGGTCCAGCTCGATGGCCCCTGTGGCAATCTTAGAGTCAGCGCTGGGCAAGCGTGACAGGGGCAGGGGGTTTGTCCCCACGTTTTACTCAGGCCCTCCTTCAGCCTGGTGGGCATCTCCTGGTGTCTGCCACCCACCACCCCCTGGGCCTCCCCTCTGTCACAGTCCTTGTAAAGTCTCCCGACCCCCTTACGGATCCTTGCTGATCCCTCCGTCAGCATTTACTGCCCACTGTTTGATGTGTCCAAAGCACCTTGTCGGCCTTGGTAATGACCCTGGGGACATCTGTCCCATGTGTGGTTAAGTGGGTTCTTGGGGGACAGGAACCCCGTCTGATCTCTCTGCTCTCATGGGCCACACAAGGGCTGCTGGGCTCACCTATCCCAACCTCTCCCACCCCTGCCCCTCTGCTCTGGGTGCTAGGCCCCGCCCTGCTCCGCACCCAGGAAGTCGTCTGCTGAGAAGTGGTCAGCGTCCCAGATCTGCAGGGTGAGCCGCGCGGGGATCTTGTACTCAGTCTCATCCCAGGAGAACATGGACTCCTTCTTGGAGATGACGATTTTCTCCTCAGCTGCCAGGTAGTCGAAGGGGAACAGGTAGCGCCAGTTGAAGTTGCCCTCACCAGTGAGGGAGTGATAGTGGACGTCCGTGTCCTGCTTGTCCTCCTGCTGGCCCTTGAGCCACCTGCCAGGAGCCACGTGCTCCAGATCTGTGGCCATACCCTGGGGGTCCTCACCCCCCCACAGCCCCCTTTTCTTCTCTCTCTGGAAGGTAGGCTTGTCCAGCTCAGCCCCCCGGCACAGGGTTCTCTCTCACCCACCCCCGGACAAAAATGTCACTGGACTTCTCGCCAGTGAAGAAGTCATCGTCCTCCAGGACCACCTCGTCCGTGTTCCACACGATGACCCGCAGCTCGTACCTACACAGGAGGAGGGACGGTTAGCAGCCTGGGTGGGGGTTTTGAGGGCGGGGTGCATGCTGGAGACGAGACAGTGAGGGAAACCCTGGGGACTTGGGCTGGCAGGTGGACAGGAGAGCAAACAGAGGCCAGAGGGAGGCCTCTGTCTTGTGGGGCCCAGGTGAGCTGGACTTCAGCCAGGAACATGCTCATCTGCCTCAGGGGAGGTCCAGTCAGGCTGGAACACACTCCTTCCTGGACAGGGTGGCTAAGGACAGAGAAGGGCAAAGAGGAGAGTGTGGGGCGCTGAAGTGAGGCTGGAGAGTCAGGAGCAACCTCTATGTGACTCCAGAGATCAGAGCTTCTTCAGTTTTAAGAGAAGTTTAAGCTCAAAAGCCTGTGATGGAAACCCATAGACTCTAGTTATTTTTATGTCCTGTCTCCAAAGAAGCATTTCCCCTTGAGGTTTAATTGTAATTATAAATGAGGCATTTATACTTCAAGAGTGAGGTTGAGTCATCCACTAAAAATGGATGGGAAATGGTTGGGTTGCACTCTTGTGGTAGGACCTGGAATAGCATGCCCATGGCTCAGGCTTGGAGGATATTTCTGGTAGAACAGGTTGCATAATTTGCCGGGGCTGGTGCAAAATGGAAATGCAGGGCCCTTTGCTAAATAAATCATCAAGAAATCAAGATGGCAACATTGGACACGTAAAGAAGAATGGGAGCTCCTGAGTGTGGGTCTCTATACAGCTTCATATAACCAGGAAGCTGACCTGAATCCCAGGTCACTGTGGAGGTCAGAAGCAGGCAAGGCTCCACTCTGCTACCTTATAAAGGGGAACACTGAGGACCAGGGAGGCAAAGCGACCTGGCCAGGGTCTACTAGGAGAGGCAGGTGCTTGGCTTCTGACTCAGAAGTGTGTCATGTCCTCCTGCTTCTTTGGACTTGAAAGAAGATGTGACAGCAGCTGACTGCAAGGGTATAGAGCAGGCCTTCGGGGGTTCTGTGCAGAGCAGGCCTCCGGCGGTTCTGTTTCCTGTACATGCGTGTGCATGTGTGGGCTCGCATGCGGGTGCCATGGGAGGGCTGTGCGTGAGCTGAAGTGGGTGAGTGGGTGTGTCTACCAGTGGACTCATCTTTGCAAGGATGGGCGTGTGCTGGGGTGCTGGGGTGTTGGGGTGTGGCTCATCTCCCCAGCTCATGGCAGAGTAGAGAGTGTTCCCCTGTCCCAATAAATGGGGACCTACCCATAGCAGGCCCCACAACTCATGGGTCAGTCTTTTTCTCCCTCAGGAGGTCTGGCCACACCTGAGACCCAGGGAATGGGGACTGACCAAGGCCATCTGGGCCTGTGTCTCCAACTGAAAGTTCTGGTCACAGTGGGAAGGAGGAAAGGGAGTAGTTCAGGCTCCAGGAAGCTCACTTCTTGGGCTTCCTGGGGGAGATGTCCAGAGGCGTTCCAGGGGCTGGCATGTCCATGGGGAACATGTCCACCCACAGCTCCAGGCGACCCTGAGGAAGAGAAGGCCGTGGTGATGTCTCAGGGACTTCTGCCTCTGGGAACGACAGTTTCCTCACCCTCCCAGCCCACGTTCTGTCATCAGTTTCCATCTTTGGGTGCCAGGAATTCCCATGATGTCACCAATAACCAATCACAGCTTCTGCGGGAGACATTCTGAGCAAAGACACTGGCCATTCAAGTTGGCCTTGGTGGGTGGGGGCCTGCCAGATTTGGGGGAGTGCAGTGAGGGCAGGAGGTCCCTCTTCTACTTTCATGTGCCCATTTTGATCTTCACTGATCCCAAATACCCAGGGAGCCCTGATCCTGGCGAGGAGGGCATCACCTGCTCTATTCCTGGCTTGTCGGGGTTCAGCAGTGGCCTGGTTTCCACATGTTCTGGCACCAGGCGGCAGCCCACGCGGGGGATGTCCTCCCAGTGCCTCAGGGCAGACAGGGCCACGTGCTCATCCGTGGGCTTCCTCTGACCTGTGGGTACCAGTGGGTCAACTGCACACCCGGCCTCCCCAGAACCAAGGCACCGGTGCAGGGGTCAGGGTCTTAGGGGCACAGGGCCCTGAGCCTGTGAGCCCTGTCACCCAGCTCCATTTTACTGTTGGGGAAACTGAGGCACAGAGGTGACTTGCCCAAGATCTCAGCTACTCCATAGGACCCAGAAAGGTCCGTGTCCTTGATGTTCCCTGTTTGGGGAGGTTAAGCAAACCATCCTGCTAGGTGTGAGAGGGAGCAGCGCAGGGAGAAGCCGCTCCTGTCCCAGCACCTGAGGCCCAGGCATAAGTCCCCAGCACAGTTACCTCCCGATTCTCTGGGAGGTGCCTCATGGGAGAGGAGTGAGGACAGCCCAGGGCTTGGAGCCAGAGGCGTCTGTGCCTGTTTCCTCAAGCCTCTAAAGTGCCATGTGACCTTGGGCAAGTCACACTCTCTGTGGGGTCTCGGTTTGCTCATCTACAGAATGGGGACAACCTCTCTAGCCTACAGGGGTGCAAGCAGGGCTAGAGAAGGCAGTTCATGGGAAAGCGGGGTGCAGGGGTGGATGGCAGAGGCTGGGCAGACAGGAGGGGGCTTTGGGGTGGGAGCAGAGGGTCACCAAGCCCAGACGTGGATAAGGACACCATCGAGAGCCCCTTACAGGACAGCATGGGTTCTTCATGGCCTTTGGAGCCACCCTGAAAGGGGCCAGGAGGTGTGGTGCAGGGCCGCTTACCGTTTTCATCCTCGATCTCAGAGGGCCCGGTGAACACACGGTTGGCCACCTTCACTCGCCCAGGGGGCCCGAAGTGGGGACCGTCTACTTTGCCCTCTTTACAGAGGCGTGTCAGGATCTGGCTTGGCTTCATAGGGTCCCTCCAGATATTGTAGCCATGTCTGTGGGAGGGGACACACAGGCTTGAGGAGCTCTGATTGGGACTAGGCCATCCCCTGGTGGCAGTTCTCTAAAATGGATCGTCACCTCGTGTCAACAGGTGGGCCTGCCCGGGGTTCCAGGTCTCCCAAGGTACCATGGCTCCTGAAGCCTGGCTCCTCCTAGCTCAGACTGGCCCACGAGTTCAGTGTTCCCCAAGCATTGCCCCAATGTGCCTACTCTCCTGGAACCTCAAAGACTCCCCTGAGGAAACTGGTCACCAGAGGTTAAGGGGCTTGATTAGGGTCACACAGCCTTTAAAGGTCAAAGGCTGATTCAGATCCCCAGAGGACTCTTCCTCTCCTCCTTTGCTGTCTCACCCCCTTCCCTAGGCCACTCTTTTCTCCTTGCTCTGACTTCTCTGTCCTGGAATCCCCTGGCCCACTCCTTGCTTTGGAATCTGCAGACCTGGCCCGAAGCTATACCCAGATCCTTTAGGGGAGAAGTGCTGGCCTGGGATGGAAACCATAGTATGTCTACATTCCCAAATCTCCACCTCTGAGTCTTGTTTCAGGGTCAGGTGCAGCAGGCCTGCCCGCCCCCAGCACCCCGCCCCTCCCCTCGCACATGGAGTAGGTGTGGGCGATCCCGCAGGTGGCGCGGTGCTTGCTGTAGAAGCGGTTCTCTAGGTCGATCTTGGTTTCCCCAATGAGGTCGTCGGTGCCCACAAGATCCCAGTCGTACACAGCCACTGTCAGCATGGATTCCATGGGGAAGGAGGCCTCGATGTCGAAGGACCTGGCAGGTGGGGGTTAGGAGAAGCGTTGAAGGCTGGGCTGTGGCAGGGGCTGGGCTGGGAGGGAGGCCAAGCCGGGGCACCTTACTTCCCAAAGACCGGGTTGAGCTGCTTGGAGATGTAGTTCTCTTTGTCACGGATGTCAGTCTTGCCCAGCCGGATGGCAATGTAGGGGTCAGCCTTGCCGTTGATGTCCGCAGGGTGCAGGTCTGTGGCCTGGGGGGTGGGGAGGGTGCTGCCTGAGGGGGGTCCTGGGCACTCTGCCCTGCTCCCTGAGGGTCCCATGATGTTGAAGGTGGGGCAGGAGCACTGGACCAGTCAGGGGACTCGTTGTGTGGCCCTAGGCAAGTTGCTGCCTTTCCCTGGGCCTTGACTTCCTCTTCTAGGCCAGATGATCCCCAGGTGCCTCCCACTCAGGACTGTTAGTCTACAGCGGCTCCGGTTCCTCTGGGGCAGGAGGACTTGCAGGGCTGGGGGTGCAAAGGGGGCCTCACCCGGACCACATAGACTCGGACCAGCACGTTGATGGGGTCATTGCTCGGGATGCCCTGGAACATGCCGTAGGTGGGATCGTAACCCGCTTCCCTGGAAACATCCTCTGGGAGTGGCACTTTGTACACACAGAGGGAGCCCTGGGGAGAGGCAAGGGGGCCCAGGTCAGGGTCGGCCTGGATGTCGGCAGGGGTGGCATCCAAACAACCAGCGGCCAGTTACTGTGGGAGGGTCTTAAGCTGCTGGACCGAGGGGATGTCCAGGGGTTCTGGAAGGAGTGGCTAGGGCAGTGGTGAGGCGACCAGAGAGAACTGGAGGTGGTGGGAGGCTCCAGGGCTGGCCGTGCTCCTCGCCTGACCTTGAACCGGCCCACAGTGCGCTCTTCCTCGGTGGATCCGTCCTCATCGTCCCCCGTCTTGCCCCGCAGCAGGTTGAAGGTGTGCAGCCAGTCCTCGAAGTTATTGAACTCTGATTCCAGCTCCTTGGGGTACACCTGGGCCAGGACCAGGCCGTCAGGGCCTGATGCCTGTCCGCTGCCTCCCCCGCTCCCTGGCAGGGTGGGCCCCGGAGCCTCACCTTCAGCTCATCAATCTTGGGTTTCTTCTTCTCCGGTGCCTCAGACCCTTGGCCGGGGCCGGGGCCGGGGCCCTGGGTTCTCTTCTTCTTCTCCTCCTTTGCAGCCCTTGCCTTCTCCTTGCCCTTCATTGGCCCCTTTAGGCCTGGCCAGAAGCAGAGAGGAGAGCTCAGTCAGCTTAGGGGACGCAGGGCCAAAGTGACCAGACAAGAAGGCCTGCGCTGGAGAACCAGCTTCTCCGCTCCTTCTCTTCGTTATTTAATTTCCTGTCTCATTGCCCTCGACACTGGGCCAGGCCCGGGAATACAGACTACGGTTGTGCCATTTGGCAGAGTGGGGCCGGGAAGGAGGCCAGGAAGGAGGCCAGGTCTGGAGTCAGAGGCCTGCTGCTGGGTGGCCCTGGGCCCCCTCATCCCCCTCCAGCTGCGCTTAACCTGCCCATGGTATCAACAAGGCGCCAAACTGCATCCAGTGGAACATCAAGCACAAGTGCAGTTGGCGGCTTTGGAAGAAAGGGTGTTGTGGTGGACTCAGTGGGAGAAGATTTTATACAATATCTACCTTTTAGAGAATTACAGTGTTTGCATTTTAAAGGCTCTGTTGAAACCCAAGGAACATGTTTAAACCAGCCGTTCCTGAACCAATTTGACCACAGAACCCTCTCTTCCCTTCAGAATCCTCATCCATATTGTCTGGAAAATGCTGGGTGAGGTGGCTGTGAAGTTCCTGCTCGCTCTGATACTCTGTGGCTTTAAATGGCTGCCCACCACTGTCGATGCTGAAGAGTAAAAACTACTCCAGATAAGGGGCTTTGCCTGCTGCCTGGCACCTAAGGACTCCCAGGGATCTGCCCAGGCTAGGAGACTGTGAGGGCCTGTGGGAGGGGGAAGGCGAAGCCGCTGGTGAGGCAGGCAGGGGAGCTGGCCTAGCTGGGGACGGGAGGCAGCAGGCCAGGGTACAGGGCTCACCCTCTGCGCTGTCCATCTCCTCCTTGTCCTCCCCGTCAATCCCTGAGACCTCTTGTTGTCGAAGTTGCTGCCAAAAGACAGAGTGACACCCTGCCTCCTGGGGCCTCCATTTGCCTTGGCTACCACACAGTACTCTAAGGTACATGTCCCTTCTGCCCAGTGACTGAGGTTCCTCAGGGCACGTGGGCATCTTATCTTTGGGCTCCCACAGTGACTGGATTATCAAAGACGTTTGTGGGATAATTGAATGAGGACAAGAGGAAACCACGCCAGCAGGGGCGGGGTGGGGCAGACTGGACCACCAGCCTGGAAAAGGTGAGTTCTCAGGGGACTCCAAGCCGGAGGGGAGGGAGCCAGCTCTGGGGAAAGCGGGAGGGGATCTGGAGGGGGTGTGAGCAGGCTGCCCGTCCCTCCTCATCCCCAGCCATGCCAGAGCCTCACCTCCTTCATGGTGTCGATGGAGGCAAAGTACTTGGACCACCAGTCCAGCATGCTCTCGTCTGGCTCCTCTTCCTCTGGCTCCTCGGCGGTGCCTTTCTTCCTCTTCTTCTTCTTCTCCTTCTCCTCTTCAGCCTGAGGGTTGCCTAGGTCTACCGGCCTGTGGGCTCCCCTACTCCCTGCTCTTTCCCAGAACCTTGGATGACCCAGAGGGTCCCCTCCCACTCCGGCCATCTGCTCTTGAAAAGCCCTGGCCCCCATGTGGCTCTATGGGGCCACCCGTGTCAAAGAGACAGAGCTGCGTTTTGTAGGGGAGGAGGCCACGACCCTGTGAGGACCATGAGGGTGAGGCAGTAGTTGGCGCTCAGGTTCGGGGGATGGCTCGGTCCCTGAGGCAGGGCCCTCGGGCCTGACAGCTGACACTAGCATAGGTCCTTTGGCCCCGGGGCACCTGCATGGCCCCCACACTCACCACATCCACCTTGATGATGGCATCAGAAGTCTGCAGAGGGGAACCAAGGAGACAGGACAGGATTAGCCACTGCGGCCTGAAGGGGCAGGCAGCAGCTCACCCCAGGAAGTGTGGAGGACAGGGACAGGTGGGAGCCCAGAGGGTGCCTGCAGGAATGGAAGCTCACGGTGTGCTGTGAGCCCCTCATCCCGAGAGCACACTGCCTGGTGAGTCTGCTGGGGCCTGCTTGGAGGATTTCCTCAGGCCCTCTGGGACGCTGGCTCTAGCCCTGGCTGCACGCTGGGATCAGCTGGGGGGCTTTTACAAATGACTAATGTGGGCACCACCAAGTCTGCACAGTGGCAAGAGGCACCAGTAGTTTAAAACTGGCTGCATCCTAAAGCCAAGAGGAATAAGGAGCTTCCACTTGGAATCCTTCTCAGCCCAGGCCTGTAGGGTGTTTTAGAAATGGCTTGGAGGGAAAACCAGGCTCCTGGAAGGAAGGACACGGGTACTTTCACAAGGAATCCATTGCCTAGGGTGTCATGTGCTGGAGTACAAATGACTGCAGGTTATCACCTCACTCTACTAATGCTCTCTCTGTTCTTGAACTTGCACCCCCACCCCCACTGCCGTACCCTCCCCAACCAGGCTTGCACACACATATGCCAGGACAGGGCTAGGGTGGAGTTGCCTGTATAGTCGGGTTGGCCCTTGATAACCACACTCCTCACTGAAAGAGGAGTGACCTAATGCTGTTCTCTCAGGGTGGAGCAGCCTGGCTTATGAGCGTGTCACAAGTTCAAGGACAGTCTGGGGCTGCCTTACCGCGTCCAGCTTCACCATGGTCTCCAGTTTCTTGATGGGCACCTCTGGTTCCATGCTCACCACAACCTCCCCTGTGGGGTAAGAGAAGGGTCCCCCATTGCATAGCCCATGGCAGCCCTGGAGATGCCTCACTGGACAGGGAGACAGACAGACAGAGGAGGCACAGGAAGAACAGTGAGAGTCAGAGAGGCAGAAGAGCAGGTGCCTGAGACTGAGTCGAGGAGGGACAGGGTAGTTGAAGGGACAAAGATGGGAATAAGGAGGGAGAAAGTGAGCCAGAAAGAAGGGTGAGCCTCTGGAGGCCCAGCAGCAGAGTGGAGGCTGGACCAGGAGGGAGGGCCTGGGTCTCCTCCACCCAGTGGAGGAGGACATCTGCTCTCAGGCCCTCTGGGGCCTTTCCAGGGCTGGTCTGCTCTGGTTCCAGAGTGAGGGGCAGCCCTGGGCGGGCTTTCTTGGCATCCAGGACAGGGCCCACCTTCCTGCCCTCCCACAGGACCATGGGATATATAACACTGGTGGCTGCTTGCATGGGGCTGTGAGCAGCAGCCCTTCTGGGGGCTGAGCCAGGCTTTGGGCCCAGATGTGGCCGTACCAGTGCTGTTCCAGCTGGGGGCCGAGCAGTCCGGGGGCCGGTAGATGAAGCGCCGCAAGGAGCTGACGGCGTGGGAGCCCACCAGTGTGTAGCGGCCGAAGGCGCGACAGTCCACCACGCGGATGTTCAGGGGCGGGTGCAGTAGCTCATTCTCTGGCAGGTCCTGGGGATGTTGGTGACACAGAGCCTGAACCTCAGAGAAGGGGGCAGAGGAACCCCACCAGGTGGAGCCACACCAGCTCCATCGCCAGTTCTGCCCTCCGTTGTCTGGGCCTGTGCTTACCACTTCAAACCACTTGACCAGGGTATTGAAGTTGGGGTTCTTCTTGTAATTGTGGATCAGGGATGACTGCACCCCCTTCCCTGCACACTCGATGTCCACGCGCGGTCGGTCCACCTGGGCCAGGTTCACCCGTTTCAGGTCCCGAAGGCCCCAGAACAGCACCTGGGAGAGGGTTGGGGGGGAGCACTGCTCAGTCCAGGCTACAGCAGTGGGTGGCAGGTGGGTGGCAGGGTCTCCTGAGAAGAAACCTGGCAATAGGCAGCAGAGGACGGATTTCAGTGGGCAGGGACAGTGCCAGGAGAACTGATGGGGTGAGGTGGGGCCTCACAGTGAAGGTGTAGAGGATTGAAGGTGGAGCCGACAGGGGTGCTGGGAAAGGCCCTGAGCCCCAGTGTGACCCAGTCAGATGGAGGCAGGCACTGGCCTGGGGTGGGAACCTGGGTCTGCTGCTGGCTCCCGGGGTGACCTTGGGCAAGTCACTTCCCCTCTCAGGCACCAGGGTTTGCTGTCTGCAGAGGAACGTGCACTTTCTCTCAGTGGAGAGAATGAGAGGGAACAAGAAAGCCAGGTGGGAGACACAGGGAGGGACAGGGAGGGACCACAGAGGCCCTGCGCACCTCCACCCGGTACTTGCTGAGCACGGGCCGGATGCCCACAGGCACAGGCATGATGGGCCCTCGGTCCACATCCACCGGGCCATTGATCGGGGGCAGGTCGGCCTTTCCTGCCGGTCCAATCTGAGGAATGGGGGTCATAGGTCACATGCTGGGGAGTCCGGGAGAGGAGTCTTTTCCCCCATGAGGTGAGATCAGGGGAGATAAGGATGGCCAAATGGACCCACGCCCCTGAGAACCACTCCCCCTGCTTTGGTCACAGCAGCATGGGGAGGAGGGAAGCCCCAGACCGTGCCCTATCCCCTGTGACCCACCTGCAGCAGCTCGAAGGCAGCCAGTAGGTCTCCGGCTGTGGCGTTGCCGCGGTAGATCTGGTAGTACTCGAGCTGGGGCGGGAAGCGGGGTGGGCAGTATGCCTCATCTGCCATCTTCACCAGGGGCTTGGCGAAGGTCCGACCCATGAAGTCGGCTTTGCCCTGACAGCACAAACAACCCAGGTGGCCTCTTGCACTTGTGTTCACATTTGTCATCTCATTGGTCCTTACTACTGGCCATGTGTTGGTGTAAGGAGCAGGTGTGATCACCCACTTTCCAGATGGGGAAGGTCAAGTGTCAGGGACAACCAAAGGCTTATTCAGGGCCAGGCAGTGAATGGCAGATGCAGGACTCAGGACCAGAAATAAGGTCCTTCTCTTCTAGTCCAGAGCTCTCTGGGGGCACCTCAATGGGTGAGGTGGTTTGTAGGAAGAGTTGGTGGCTTCCCAACTCTTGGGAGGTCATCCCAATCCTTTACTCCCCACTCCAGGTCCCCCCAGCCCCCCACACCATGGAAAGCTAAAGGCTGTTACAGACGGATAGGTGTGGGCAGGGGGTCAAGCGCCCTGCGGTGACAGTAGAATTTTCCGGCTCATCTCCTGAGGATGTTGGGCTCTGTATGTCTGTGCCGGGAGGTGAGGATGCCCTGGCCTGACTCCTGAGATCCCAGAGGCTCAGTGTTGGGAAAGGTTAGGCTGCAACGGGTGGGCAGGAGGCACCCGGAGGGACTGGTCAGCAGCCCCGATGCCAGCTTCCCAGCCAGCACCAGCCCAGGAGGGAGTGGGGAGGAGGCCAGCAAGTTGAGTGCAGGGGACCAGGGGGAGGTGTGGTGCTGCTGGGGTCCCTGATGCCAACACCCACTCATACCATGCTGTCCTGGTCATAGATTTCAATGACAATGATGGGGGGATCATCCCGCAACTCCTGGGCTTCTCCATACAGCTCCAGGTTGTCAAACACCAGCATCTGATCCCAGGTGGGACACAGTGTCTCATTCAGCACCTGCGGCATGGGGTGGGAGACAGGGAGCAGGTGATAGTGAGTGGCTGACACCATTCCTAGTCAGGGATTCCAGGAAAGCCAGGAGCAGGAATGTCAGAAATCTTAAAATCAAGGCGAATATGAGGTCTGCCTCCAGAGCCCTGACAAAGTCTTCCTGTCTTCTCTGCCTTGTGGATGCAACCTCAAAGCTGTCGTCCTGGCCTGCGTGACCTGGGCCTGCAGGTCTAAGGAGCCTGGGTACTAGTAGACCTGCTCTCTGGGCCCACAAACTCAGAAGCCTCCAGTGCTCTTTCCAGATGGGGAAGGTCAAGTATCAGGGACAATCACACGCCTATGGGCATGTCCCCCACAGGCCCTCACCTCCGTGCACTGGCTCTGGTTGATGAAGAAGACGCGGGCGAAGGGATCAGAAAGACCACTGCTGTCCGCGGCAAAGAGGCTGCGGGCCTGGTACATGTGAGCTCGGAGCTGGAAGGCCTGCTTCTCTGCAGGGAAGAGGAGGCTGAGGCCTGGCATAGCCCCTCCTGGGTGAGAGGGGCCCACCAGGCGAGGCGTCCTCACTCACTGGTGTAGACCAGGCTGATGGGCGGGAAGGAGTGAAGTCCCAGGCCCTGGGCCGCCTTGACCTCTTCGAAGCCGCAGGGCAGGCCACACAGGAAGTCCTTCCGCTGCTTGCTGAGGCCCAGCCACAGGTAGAGCTCCAGCTTGGCCTGCACTGTCCAGCCTGCTGAGCCGAAGCCCCGCTTCCCTGGCAGCTGGGGGCAGGATTGGGGTCACCAGGAGTCTGGCCAATGCCAGGACCCACCAGGAGGGGTAGGAGCAGGGAAGGAGGGCTGGTAGAGGCCTCGGTCAGAGCTGTGCCTGCCCTTAGTAGCCATCCCACTGGCTGGGATGGGGTGGGGACAGAGGGTATGGGCCAGGCAGGGACTCCAGCACAGCTCCCTCTGCCCCCTCACTCTCTTTCCAGCCCTTTTCTGAACATGAGTTAGTTGAGAGCTCTATGCAATCAGTTCAGGCCTGATGGATGTGGGTGGGACCCTTAGTGGGATCCAACCTCTCCCCACCCAAGTCCCATCCTTGTAGCACCTTGAGGAAGAGCGTCTTGACCTTGGCACAGTCCTTGCCCAGCTCCTCCTCCACAATGGAGAAGAGCAGGTCCTTGGAGGGTACCCGGGCATAGGCGACCCGCTTGTTGCTGCTCATCATCCAGATGAAGACGTCAGGGATGCTGTGCTGGGGCTGTGGCGGGGGAAGGGCAGAGGGGTCAAGGGGAAGGCCCTTCTCCACTCTGGCCCCTGAGCCTGCCTGGCCTGGGGGCTGGACCTGGACGAAGAAGGGGCCTTGGAGGGAAGGACCCCAAGCCTGAGCTGGAGGGGCTGCACAGGGAGTCTGTCCCACCCCGTCCTGTGCATCCCCGTCCTCCCTGCAGGCCATGCACCTCGTCTGCCAGGAAGCGCAGCTTCTGTAGGAAGTTCTGGCACAGCCTCAGCTTGTCACGCACCGTGTGCCGCTTCACCTGAGCCCGCAGGCTCCTGGCCTGCTGCCCCATGCTCTCCTGTGGGGAAGGGGTGCAGGGGGAGATCGCTGTTTGGGCACTGTTGGGGCCATGACCGAGGGGGCTGTGACCTCAGAGGCAGATGTCCCCTTTTCACTGCAAGAGCCTTCCTCCAACCCTGGGGTCCAGCACGTCCTCACCAGCTCCCTCATGCAGGACTTGAGGCGCTCCCGATCCAGCCTGGTGCATGACGAGTGGCCCTGGTCCTTGTCAGCGAGGGAGAGGAAGCGGCTGGGAAGGGAGGGAGCCAGGGCTTAGCCCATAGGCACTTCCTCCTCTGTCCGGTAACCCTGTGCCCACCCCTTCCGCCACCCCTTTGCCCACTCACTGGCAGCCACAGCTGAGCTCCTCCAGGACTCCCCGCAGGCGGCGCTCAGGATAGGACTTCTCCGTTTTGATCATCTCCTGCACGTCATTCAGTCCTTCTTCCTGGGAACCAGGGGCATGGGTTCATGCTGGGCCATAGCCCACGCCCTTGGCCTCCCAAACATCTCCTCCATGTTCATCAGGGAGGAAGAAGGGCCTAATGACCTGGGACCTCTCACTAGGGCCATTCCTTGTTCATCAAGAGGAAGCAGCCAACTCCCCAGGTTCTTCTTAGAACCTGGAGACCTCAGTTCCTGAAGGAAGAAGTCACCTCTGGCTGTGACCTTAGTGGGTTGTACAGGACTCAAGGCTGGAGAGACGCCTACTTCACTAAGACAGAAGGCGTGCCTAGCTGCCTCTAGGGCACTCCAGGCCTGGAGGGGCCAGGCTTCTCAGACTCCATTCCAGACTTCTGGGACTTAGGGCAGGGGGTGGTCAGAGGTCTTACTGGGGCCATTCCTGCAGCCCCTCACTCTGCCACATGGCAAGCCTCTGGGCGGACCTCTGGGAGAGCCCTTCAGACACACCCATTCCCTAGGACTCCCAGCCCCCGCCTGGCCCTGACCAGCTTGTCAGCGATGTGGTCCATGATGTTGGCGTTGTAGAGGCGGCGACGCTGGTCTGGCCACCAGCTCTTGATGTAGATGCAGGGCTTGCGCTCCAGATAGGGCAGATGGAAGTAGTTCCTGGAGTGGGAGGTGTGGGGCGGTTGAGGCCCAGGGCCACAGGAAGTGGGAGGACCAGGCCACAGGAGGGTGAGCCCACCTATCTGTGATCTGGGGCCGCATGGGCGGGGTGGAGGACACTGAGGCCAGGTCTCCGCCATCATCACCCTCATCGTCACTGGAGTTCTGGATCAGATCTACTTCCTCCTCGTTCCCGGGTTCCTTTCTGGGCCGAGGCCGCTGGGGTCTTGATAGGCCGTCAACTTCGTTCCCATAGTTGCCTGGACACAGAATGGAGCATCAGAGGAGAATGCTTTCCCCCCTACCAGGCCCCAACAATTGTCCAGTCTAGGTGTTTCTTTAGGAAGAGGCAAAGTCAGAGAATGGGGCTCAGACAGGATAGAGCATTAGCTGGAGAAAGATTCCCATGTCCCCCAGATCTTGCTGACAGCCCTGATGTTGACTGAGCCTGAGGTCCAGCCTAGGACATGGCCTGGGTCCCCACTCTTCCTCTCTAGCCCCCAGTAGCCTGACCTGTCTTTCTTTCCCTTATCCCAGATTCAGGCCAGCCCTTAAGGTGGAGTGAAGGTTGGCCCCTCTGGGGAACAAGTACCCTCCCACAGAGGTGCTGTGTGGGTGCCTGCGGACACCCAGGGGAAAGAGGTTCATGTTGCCTGCGTCCAGGGGTCAGGGAGCAGGGTCCAACAGTTACCACCAGCAGTCCCTTGGCCTGGAGACCCTCCCTCTGTAAGCACAGCACTCACCTATGGTCACCTCAAAGGTGATTGGCTTGTCTCCGTTCTTCCTGTCGATCATTGAGGCCTCCAGGAAGGCTCCAAATAGAAAGAATTCTTCCATTTTCCCTGTGCAGCTCTGTGCGGGAGGTAGTTCAAACCTCAGTGGGGCAATGGCCTGGGCTGGCCTCCTTCCAACAGGACCTAGACTGGCCCTTTGGGCTGATGGAGGGCATCCTACCTAGTTTTGGGGTTAGCAGCCCAGACCTTAAAGCCCTCAGTCTTGATGGCCCTGGAGAAGAGCTGACATGACCGGGAAGAGGGGCAGACACTAAGGTACCATCTTGGGAGATGGTGGCCATGGGGGCACCTCTGAGAAGGGGACAGACAAGTGGGAGACGAGGACAGAAGTCCTGCTGAGGGGCCACATGAAGGCCTCTCCTCCCTGGAGGAGGTCTCATTCTGGGGTCGGGCCCTTGAGGACTCAGGCTTCCAGGGTGGGATGGGGGCTGAACTGGGGGCGCTGAGGGCAGCATAGCCCCAGGGGCCTCACCTCTGAGACAGGCGTGGCCTGCTCCACCTGCACCTCTGTGGAGCTGGTGAGCTCGGGGTTGGAGGTGTCCAGGATTTCCACAGCCAGGGCCAGCATGAGGCGGGCACGGAAGGACACGCCCTCCCCCAGGCCCTCGTTCAGGTCCTGGTGCTCGTCCAGCAGCGTGTAGTTGCGTGTGGAGCCGTACATGTTCACCCAGGCTGGGCCCAGTGTGGGCAGGAAGCCTGCGGCAGCAAGGACAAGGAGGAGGGACCGGGTCACTGAGTAGGTGGTGACTTTCCCCTTTTCCTTGAGGCAGGGGCTACACACAAGGACCTGTCAGGCTGGGGTCTGGGATGACAGGGGTGATATGAGGAGAGGGTCTCATTTACTCTTTCCTTTTGTGTCCCCACCCCTAACACAACTGGGCTCCTGCTGCCAACCTCTGTCTCCATCGTTGGAAATCTTGCGCAGGTCGATGAAGTGGGTGCCGATGGCCACGTCGTTGACCTTGTCGGAGTCTCGGATCTGCACCTTCATGCGTTTGCAGAGTGGGGGGAACAGGTCTGTGAAGATGACCTGCTCGTTCCACAGGGGCTCATAGCTGCTTTTCTGCACCGAAGTCTTGCCCTGGTGGGAAGGCGTGAGGGTTAGGGTGTGTGTGTGTGTGTGTGTGTGTGTGTGTGTGTGTCCCCAGCCTCTCAGACTCGCCTCCCCCATGCTCTTGGCCTGAGGACCCTGCAAGGCAGGGAGGATTCTCTGAGCACCATCCATGGCCAAGACCATTCCCAGACTGACCTCACCTTCCAGCCTGAGCTGGAGGCTCCAGATTTCACCTCGTGTCTTTCCCAGGCCGCCATGCCCATCACCTGCCCTTCTGACACCTGGCACTCCCAGCCGCAACCTCCCACACCACAGATCCCCGTACCTTCTGGCCAGCAAAGAAGACTTGCACGTAGGGGTCGACGAGGTCCTTGTTTTCACCGATGAAAGCCTTCTTCACGTTGGCCATGAGGCTGGTGTTCATTCGGGGCAGCCCCTCCGCACGGTAAATTTTCACGTAGAACCGGGCCCACTGGCGTTCTGCGGGCACCCCCTCAGGGAGCAGCAAGTTCCTGCCGGCACATCCAGCCAGGGCCATGGTGGCCAGGTCCAGGGCCCCCACCTCCTACCCTAGCATCTGCCTACCCTGGGGTCTGGCCCAATCCACGAAGGACAGCTGAGAGGGCCCAGATGCAGATTGAAGACACCGGAGTTCATGGCACCCGCTGTCTGCGGGAAGCAGGGCAAATCACCCATCACACTGAGCCTCAGTTTCCTCACCAGTAGGGTGGGGGCAACAAAATCCACCTCCCCGAAAACAATATAATAGGCTCAAACAGGTTATAATACCAGAATAAATTTTGTAAATCACAGAGCGGGGCGCCAATCTGAGTACTGTTGTTAATTTGCCCAGCCTCATGCCATAGTCTTTGTCCCCTAGACCGAAACCTCATAAGTAGCTGCTCTTCCTTCCCCAGCCCAGGAAGACACGAGTCACTGGCTCCCTGCCCTCTTTCCCACTGAGGCAGCTGAGGTCCCAGAATGTTTCTCAAAAGCCTCTATCTGCTGCCAGCAGTTGGCGCACCACATGGACTCTCCCAGGAGGGTACAGCACCCCCGACCTGGCAGCTTCTGGAAGCTGGTCTGCCAGCGTCTACTCTTCCTACAGAATTCCTCAGAGTTGGAAGTCTGTAGTGAAAGCACCGTCAAAGCACTCCTCCCGAAACCCCGCTCCTGCCCTGCCCAGGCCCTCCTGTGTGGGGTGCCTGGTGGGAACAAGGGTAAGGGAGGTGGACGCAAGAACTCTGGGGGGTCCACGCCGGGAGCTCCTCTGGGGAAAGAAAGGGCTGGGGCGAGATGGGGCTCACCCCTCAATGTCATCTTCTTCTGTCTCATTGGCTTTGTGAGGTGTCTTGATGTTGTCCCCCTTGCCCACCACAGCGACGTCACACTTCACATAACCCTTCAGCCCGGCAGAGATGTCATCGGGGTCTGACAGGATGGCCCACTTGTGATAGAACTGGTGCTCTGCAGTGGTGATGAGGGGTGCTGTACCCAATGTCCCCACCCCTGCAGCTCCCTGCCATTAGGGCAGACCAAGGGCCCTGCAGAGCTTAGCACTTTTTTTGGCCTCTAGAGACCCCAGGCTGCAGGTCCTAGAGAGCAGGGTCCCCAGTTCTGTCTGTATCTGGGCCAGGAAGAGACAGAGGGAAATTGGTCTCAGGAGCTGTGAGCTGGATAAGCCCCGCCCAGGTCATCCACGGGATGTGTGCTGTGGCTTCCCGGTGATGAGCCTCCTAACTGGGTTTCTTGGCCTGTGGCTTCTCCTACTGGCGCCATTGTAGCCGGACACACACAGCCACCAGACAGGGTATTCTGAAGTGGTGGCTCCTACCTAATTACCTCCCTGCTTTCCAAATCTTCTGGGGCTCCCCAAATGCCTTGGAGTGAAGCCCCAGGGCTTGGTGTGGCCCAGAGCTTGGTGTGGGGCTCCTGATGTGGCTGTCCCTGCCTCGCTCTGCACTACTCCCCAGGCGAAGCCCTCATTCCTTTCTGAGCTCCTGCTGATACCACCTCCAGGCCACTGTGTTCACGGTCAATGAGTCCCATCCCTCCTCTTCCGTCCCTGGCCAGTTGCCCCAGGGTCTTCTCGTCCATGCACCCTGCCCTGACTTCCTCACAGCTTGGTGCCCCCCACGTCTGTCTCCCACCTCACTGTGATTGTCTGTGTGCTGTTTGGTTTCAATTTTGAACTGAGAGCCTCCTAAAGACAGGGGCCCGTGGTCCTACCCCAGGGTCCCCAGGACCTAGGACAGTGTGGAGCAAAGGAGAGGCACTTTAGGAAGACCTGCTCCTTCAGGTTGGCATTGAACCCATTGCTTTGTGGAGCTTTTCCCTGTGTTTTGTGAGGCACTGATCCCCAGGCTCAGAACTCCCTTCCTTCCTCCTCCTCTTCCCCTTTCTACTGCAGCCCAGGCCTGTGTCCTCCAAGGTTGTGATCCCAGAGGCTCCTTGGGGTGAGTTAGGGGCTGGGTGCAGAAACTAGCCTGTCCAGGGCTCAGCCAGCCCAGCTGTGTCTCAGTACAGCTAATGCTACAGCAGCCTAAAAAAAGGGTTAAGGAGGGCAGAGGGTAGGAAGTCACAGGTGTAGGGAGTTGTTGCAGACCTCTGCTGGGCTGGCATGCCTCAAGAGGAGGGGACCGTGTCCTGGGCATCCCAGAGCTTCAGGGCCTTGCCTGAACAGATGTTTGTAGGAGGGGACAGATGAACAGACAGTAGATGGCTAATGGGAGATGGACAGAAGGCTGGGTGGGCTGACTGGCTGTTGGAGTGGATGGATGGGTGGATGATGGATGGATAAATGAATAGCAGGGTCCATTAACATATGGATGGAAGGGGTGGATGGATAGATGGGTGGACAGGTGGGCAGATTTGGACATGGTTAGATGAATTAGGGAAATTTGGCAAGAAAAGAGAATAACACACTCTCAGGAGTGACATGAATTTTACCTTCAAACTTAAAGCTATTCAAATAGGGAATTTTCTTTTTCTGTCCTGAAGGGTGGACCTATAGACATGGGTGAAGTTTGCAGGTGATAGATTTTTTTTTCTTTATCTGACATAAACACAGTGGAGATACCTAAAATAGGGGGTGCTGGGAGGTCTAAGCAGAGGCAGGGGTCCCTATGCCAGGTACTCAGTGGTCTGATGACCTCTGAGGCCCTTCCAGTCCTGACATTGTGTGATCCCAGGTCAGAGATGCAAGAACAACCTGAGAGCCCAGCTCTGTGTGTAGTGGCCTGAAACATCATTTCACCTGTGTCCAGTCTGGTTCTGGTACCTGCTGGCTCTGACTGGCTGGTTGGAAAGCTGCCAGCATCCCAGGCCTCCTCTTGACCTACAAACCCACACTCCTCTCCAGCAGCAGCTTTGAAGTTTCCTCCTGTCGCCTATGACTGGGTAAAGAGGGTCTTGCCAGGGTGAGAATAGGCTCTGGACACCCCTGAAGCTCTTCCCGTTCCACCAGGTGCTGACACCACCTGTATGAGCATCCAGTAATTCTGGGTCCCTGTAAACATCTTCCCAACACTACCCCGGTTTGGTCTCTGAGAAGGGCACCAGGCTCAGGGGCAGAGTCAGCAGGAGCAGCAAGTCCAGGGATGGATTACCCTAGTGGAGAGCCCAGGTGGGGGCCCACAGCCTAGTTCTGCCCGCTTAACTCCCAGTGTGGCCCTGGACCAGCTATTTGAGCTTGATGAGCCTCAGTTTCCATAAGGGAATGGTGCTTATGTGCTTATAATGGGGTAGGGAGGGTGCATCTTTGGATGGCATGCTTGACTCAGTGCTGGACCTGCTGAGGCTCCATGCGGGCTATGCTTTCCTGACCAGGACTTGACCAACCAGAAGCCCAACCAACCAGAGCTTGACCAACCAGAGCTCCCCTATTCTACTTTCCAACTTCATCTTGACTCTAAGCCTCAGGCCTGCCAATGGCAACAGGGGACACCCACTGCTCAGCCCTGGGAGGATACCTAAAATAGGGGGTGCTGGGAGGAGGACATCCTCAGGATGCTAGTGACATTCAGAACCATGGCCCAAAGCTGTACGTGTTTCCTGGAAAGCAGACTGACTCTTCCCTGTTCCTTAGAGAGCTGGAGGTCAGTACAGCTGGCCTCCCCTGAGGCCCATGGCTTGTGTGGGGCAGTGGAGAAGGCACTGCCCTGGAAGCCTGAGGCCTAGGCTCTGCTCCCAGACTTTGGGCAAGTCCTTCATGACCCTGGGCAGCTCCATTGTAATAAAGGTTGGACCAGATACTTTTAAGGTCTGCTGTAGCTTGAATGTTCTATGATTTTGTAATTTTAATGTGTTTATTCCTGGGCATCTGAACTCAAATCCCCTGATCTGAGTCCCAGTTTGAAGGTGTGTCAGCTGACTGTCTATTAAGCTGAACCACAAGTGCCAGGTGATCATCCTTCTAGTTAAGTGACACCTCTAAGCCCCTCATGGCTCTTAGCCTCATTTATGTCATCTGTAAAATGGGAAGAGGTGCTGCTGCCTACTTCTCTTTTTTTGTGAAGGTAAAATGTGACACTGTGGGTGAAATTGGAACCCCAAAGGGCCCCAAGCTGGCCATGTGGTGACAAGCACTTTGGGCCGCCCATGGGGTTGCCTCATCATCTCCTTGTTGGCCTACAGGTACTTACAGAGCTGCCCGACCTCTGCCCCACATGGCTGATCCTCAGGTGACCAGGGTTTCTTAGAGCCCAGGAGTCCCTCAGAGGCTGTCATACGGCATTCAGCAATGGCCATCACCACCACATTTGGGTTGGACAGTGTGACTCAGGGAGGGCTCTAGAGAACATGGCCTGACCCCCCCTACACACCCCATCAGCTGGGGGCCTGGAGCATCTCTGAGCTTCAGGTCCCTCAACTGTCAAAGGGGGATGGTGGAGTTCCTGTGAGGACGGAACTTGGCAGGTGCCAGCTCAGGGTGCAGGAGGCTGGCCACAGACCCTCCCAGGCTGTGAGGATAGGCACCTCTCTCTGCACCCTAGACACGTGCAGCCATGCAGCACGTGCTACATCCTGTCCAGAATGCCTCCGAGGCTCTGCATGGTGTTCCTCCCCTGATAACCAGGGAGAACCATCAGACAGGGGTAGCTGTTGCCTGCATTTGTGTACACGCTGTGTGCACCATTTCCAACGGCAACGTGGTGTGTGCTCACAGTCTCCGGACTGTGTCCCCCACCAGGCTGAGCTCAGGAACTGCCCCACTCCCGGAGCCACACGCACCTGGCTGGCTGGCTGGCCCATGCACAGCTACTCACCAGGCTGGGCGTACACAGTCCCCACGTCCATTTTGAAGGAGCCCACCAGGGTGCCACTGCGCAGCAGATTCTTGGAGTGAATCACCTTCCGGGCAGAACCACCAGCCGCCAGTCAGGCAGGGCCCGGGGCGAAGCTTTCCATGGGGCCAGGGCGGGGCCCCTGATGGTGGCACCACCTCAATATTTCTGGGGACCCAAACTTAATGGTGAAGGGGGAGGGCGTTTGGCAGGGCTGAGGTGGCTCACTCAGGCTCAGCATCCGCCTCTCCTGCCACACCTGTTTTGTTTTTTTTTGGCGAGAAGGTTGTACATGACACAGAGACATCTGGCTAAAGGGACAGGAGGGGCCAAAATCCATCCTGAGCCCCCTGTGCCCAGCCATGTGTCCAGGCACCAGGCTACCTTTATATGATTGGTCCAGCCAGAGGGGCCTAGCAAGATTGCGCACAGGTGCAGCTGAAGCCAGTGGCCCTGTCTGCCGGGGCTGCTCCCCACTCACCGAGATCTTGAGGATCTTGTCGAACATGATGTCAGGAGAGACATGGAAGTCGAAGACGAAGTACTGCAGGGGGAAGGACAGGCCGCTGTCACTGGGGGGCTGCAGTTAGAGCCCAGGACAGTGCAAGGCCCCTCCCTTTTGGCAGTGTCTGTCTGTACCCTGGCCATTTCCCCTGAGCCCCAAGGTTTGGATGAGCAGTAGTGTGAACCATCCTGTTCTGAGTGGTAGAGGCAGGGCCCCATCCCCTAGGCTGGGCCGCCTGTTGCCAGTCAGTGGAACCACTAGTTGACATCGACATGCTCAGAAGGACTGTGGGCTCCAGGCCCAGTTCTTCCTCTTTCTAGCAGTGTGGACTTGAACAGCACCTTCTCTGAACCTCAGTTTCCCAAGCGGTAAAACGGGGATATGGACCCCCACCTCATGAAGCTCTGATGAGATATTATTTCATCGGTCACTGAATTGAAAATGCTCTTGACTGTGTGATACACTGCGGTTTGAGGGCCACACAGATATCTCCATTAAACCACAACTCTGCCTGGAACATGCAACTTCCCTGAGGTTAAGAGGGAAAATAAGGCGACTCTTAGTGCTGAGGCCTTAAGGTGTGTGAAGGCACTTCTTTGACTGTAAACCTAAAATGCGGTGGTGTGAGCTGTCTTCTTGTGCTGGAGGCTGCCACTTGTGGTCCCCACCCTTGCCCTGGCCTGGGTGCAAGGGCTGGGATAAGGGTGTGGGTAGTGAGCAAAAGTATCACTGCTTTGGTGAACTCACGGGTGAGAAAAGAAGCGCTTAGAGAGAAAAGTCACAAGAGTACAGGAGCCTCGCCCTTGAGCACTGTGGGTAAAAGCACTAGGTTTAGAACTGGCCACATCTAGCTGCGATTTGGGGGTTCGTCATGTTCTTTCCTGAGCCTCAGTTTACCCCTGTGATATGGGGATAATAGTCTCAGGTGGCAAGTTGAACCTCTCCAGGGGCACAGGGACATCTGTGAGGTGTGGTGGTGAAGTCCTGAAATGAGAGGACCCTGGTGGAGCTCTCAACCGGGGTGTGGATGCAGTACATGCACAATTAACCTTAGTTGCTCAGTGTGGCAGTAACAGGTCCGGGTGGCACTGGCTGGGGGTGGGGAGCCTGCAACTCTGGAGAGGCAGATGGGAATCTAGATTTGGGAACCTGGATGGTGACTGCAGCTTTTGAATGGAGGAGAGAGTATCAGAGGGAGAGAGTATGAGAGGGCTCAAGACAGGGATCCAAGAAGCAGACTTCTGCAGTGGGAAGAGGAAGCAGGAGGTTGGGAGAAGGAGCTGGAGAAACGTGGGAGCAAAAGGAGGGGAGGGCAGACAACTGGATGGAGGGACTGGGCAGTCAAGGGAGAGAGGACATTAGGGGACATTGTCCTCAGGAGTAAGGTCCTCGTTGACCTTGTGGTATGCTGTGGGGCAGAGATTGAGGTGTGACTGGGAAAGAGAAGGTGGGGACAACTCACATGCCTACTGGGAACAGAGGAGAGAAAAAGGTGGTGTTGGAGAGATCCATGGGAGTGGGCAAAGCCCTTGATCCACGGATGATGAGCGTCTAGTTCCTGTCCTTGAGTAGGCATGGTTTTCATAGTGCTGTTTAGACAAAATGGGCTGCCGTCAAACTGCACAGGCAAAGGTGAAGGAGCCAGAAGAAAGGCAAAGACAAAGTTGTGTTGGGGGACGGTGTGGTGCCAGACTCCTCGGGATGTAGGAAGAGAAGGGTCCATGGCAAAGGGGAGAGGTCGATTTTAGGCAAAAGGAAGATGGTGCTCCCCAGATGTCCAGGCAGGACCAGGTGCATGGGGAAGAGGGCTTGTTCTGGGCCATGAATGTGGCTGGTTGTGCTGGGAGGGCAGAACTCCCTCCATGAGCCTCCATTCACATGGGCAGGTTCAGAGCCAGGCAGGATGGGTCATCAGGCCTGGAGCCTCGGAGATGGGTCAGCCCCATGCTACGCGCTAGCTCTGTTAAGGCCAGAATCCTACACCCTCTGAACTGTCTCTGGTCACATTCCTGGTATTTCTTGAGCACAATTCCCTTTTGGGATTGCTTAGAAATCTGCTAAGTCGTGTTGGTTGTTTGTATCTCCCCCTGTTGTTTTAGTGCAACCAAAGGAGAGTTCCTGCTAGCTCAGAGAATTCATCAGCTGCAGTACCTATCTGTGAGCCTGGGGTATCTTTCATTGAAGAGGAAGAGAAGAAAAAGGAAATAAAGGCCTTGGGCTTGGAACTGACCTCTGACCCAGAGAGGGCAAGGAAGACTGCTCAATGGCAAGACATCTGAGCTGGGCCCTGCATGGTACAGGAGTTTGCTAGGAGTGGCAGAGCACCTTGGAAGAAGGGAGCAATTTGAATAGAACATGAGGTGCATGGGCCTGGTGCAAAGTGAGCCCTTGAGCCCACCAATCATGGCTTTACCACTATCAATAACACACCAGGTCACAGGGACCTGTCTCTGTACCTGTCATGGGAAAGTAGACCTTATTTAGGTTAGATGCTTTTCTAGTCATGGGTGTGTCCTGACATGAGGTCAGAGATGTCCTGACTCCACAGAAGACTGAAGGAGTCTTGAGCAGTGACGTCTTGCCCTGGGGCCCCAAGAGAAACTGGCTGGGAGATGTGGTCCATCTGTGGCTACACATGAAACCTCGGCCAGGCTTTGGCTGAAGGGCAAATCTGATGTGCACAGGTTTATCTTCCTGCAGGTGCAGTTGGAGGATTCCCACAGTGGCTCATGGCTCCCCTCAGCCCTCCCTTCACCTCAGGAAGCAGGACAGGTGTCTCACTTGAAGGGAGACTGCTCAGTGGCAGTCTTCCAGCATATCTCATTTCCTGGAGCCACCTTGTACCCCTTGAGAAAAGGAAGGCTCAGGGTCCAGGCTTCTGGGCCAGTCTGCTGTGTTCTTAGACATCTGAGAGAGGCCTGGACCTCCTTCACCAGAGCTGGTCATGATGGGGTTCCATGTGGAGCCCAGGGGTCAAGATGCTGTGCCCTGGTGACAGCCAGGGCCCTGGGTTGGAGGCTGGACAATCTAGCCCCTGCTCTGAACTGACTGTACCCCTGGACAGTGGGAAGTCTCTTCTGGTATTGAGGTCTCAGCTTCCTCCTCTGTAAGGCAGGGGCATTGAACTAGGTCCCTCATATTTCATGTGACCTCAAAGGGCTGGAAAAAGCAAGAGAGGGCACCAGGTATTTTACTTCTTGCACCCAAAGTCAAGGCCAGTGGGTAGAAGGGAAGCCCCCAGAGGTTTAGGTGACCATGAAGGTGGTTGAGCATAAAGGGCAGGCACCTTGTGAATAAGAACCTCCTACAGGAGTCTCAGTGTCCCTGTGTGAGCAGTGGGGTATCAGTGGCAACCACTGATGGCTGATGTAACTAATGCATCAGGAGAGTCCTGGGCACCTGGGAAATGTTCATTAATTGCGTTGGTGCCACACTGATGGCTGGGCTGGAGAAAGCTGCACTGCCCAGGGCTCTGGCTTGGAAAATAGCTGGGACCAGGTCTCGTGGGGCTGTGGTGTTTGTTCATAGGAGCTGCTGGGGAGTCGCACAGGAGCACCCAGGCCACACTCATTTCAATGGGTGGCCCTGGCCAGAACAGGACCAGACTGGGTTCTAGACTAGGGGTCCAGAGGGCTTGGCACTGCGTGTCAGTGTGTTATAACACAGTGGGCCAAAGTCACCTCTGCTGGGAGCACCGTACATCCCTTGACACTCAGCTGCTCCTTTTGGGCCTGGGTGGGGCTGGGGCCCAGCCACCTCCCACATTTCAGGAGGCCCCTTTCCCCACCTAGGCATGGGGCCACTGACCTCGTTGTAGTAGGGGCAGTTGGTGGACTCCTTCATGGATGTGTACTTCTTGTCGTCGCCCACCTCCACGCACACCACAGGGTCCATGTTCAAGCCCACCAGCTGCCGAGCCTCGATCACTGTGATGCTGACCTGTGGGCAGGAGAAGGAAGAGCCGGGGAGACAGCTGAGTGGGCCTTGGAGCCTGGTCCTGCTGGAGCCCAGGAGTAGGGCAGGAGGGCTCAGGGAGCCGCACTGACTGAGTCACGTCCTCGGATCTGCACTGACCACTGTCTGGTTTGCTGGGAGATCCTGGGCTCTTTCCTTTCCAAGCCTCAGTGCCCTGGTTTGCAGCAGGACATGGGATGAGTGGCCTTTAAGCCAGGTTCACTAGAATTATCTGGGGCAGGGGCATCCCCCCACTCTGGGGCTCAGGACATACCCCTGGCCAATCCAACCAGTGTCAGGGATGGGCCCAGGCATCAGTTTTTTAAAGCTCCTAGGTGATTCTAGAGCCCTGAGTTCTCCCCAAGATGGATGGGATGGCTCTGCCCAGGGGTGAAGGGTGGGGTGCCAAAACCACCTCACAGGGTTCATGCCCTCAGGAACTAAGCTTTATCTGTGTTTTGCACATAGGTGCTGCTGGGAGTCGCACAGGAAATCGTACCGGGGATCGAACCCAGGGTGCTTTATGGCTGAGCTATGTCCCCAGTCCTTTTTATTTCTCATTTTGAGGCAGGGTCTAAGTTGTCCAGCGTGGCCTCAAATTTGCCATCTTGCTGCCTCAGCCTCCAGAGTAGCTGGGACCACAGGCCCACAACACTGTGCCCAGCTAGGAATTAAGCTTTTAGAGTCTTTGTTAGCCTAGATTTGATTTCCTGCCCCAGGGTTTCTCATGTGAGCCTGCAGGCCTCATGCTACTTTCTTGTGTTTCTGGAACCTGGCTCCCTTCCTGCATTCCTGCCCCTTTCCTTGCCTTTAATCTCTCTGAATGGCAGGGAGGCTTTGGTGCCACCGAGCCACTTTTTCAACCTGACCATTGTATGTTGTGTGTGTTTTGTGTCCTTCAAGTAGCCTCCAGCTCCCTGGAATCTTACTTTTGCCCTGGGAAGCCTTTTTCCAGTTGTCTATTCATTCAACAAATATTTAGGGGATACCTGTTGGGGCCAGGCATAGGTGGGAGTGAAGTCAACTCCTTCGCCTCATGGAACTTAGTGTAAGTGATTATTGGCTTGTAGATTAAAAAAAAAAAGAAAAGAAAAAGAAAAAAAAAAAAACACCTCACACCCAGAGGTTGGTTTGTGGAATTTCTGATGTGACCACTACTTTTCCCAAATCTTCATTTTAAATCACTTTGGATTTGGAAGTTTCTGTCCCCTTGGAGTGGTCATGGTAAATAGACTTGGGGCTGCTGAACTTGGCATCAATATGCTACCAGGTGTGAGTGAGGAGGACTCACCACGCTACAAATCTCTCAGCTACCAGCTAAGACACCAGCTACCCACGAGGGTGGGTGAGGGTGGAGTGAGTGAGATGAAAGGATAAAGGCATCCTCAACAGAGGGAAACTCTGGGCAGTGCCAGCGTCTGCTCTAAGTGGCTTCTTAGAATCTGCCTTCTGGCAGGGTTGGGGATGCCTTGGGATGGTTTCACAAGACCAATTAACCAAAATGCCTTATCTCAGCTAGTATGAGCATTTACCTATAATGGAACTGGAAAGATGGCTCTTGGTGCTTCTCATCTCGAAGATGTGGTAATGTAGTTGCTGTGCTTTCATGCAACTTCTAAATATGATTTTACTTGAGTGAATTATTTTCCTTTTTCTTTTTTTTCCAGTGTTGGAGATCAAACTTCAGCACCTTGTGCATGCTAGGCAAACACTCTTATCACTGTGCTCCATCCCCAGCCCTATTTTCCTTTTTTATAAATAAAACAAGAATCATTTCTAAAATTATCATTCACTGTATGCATCAAATGTGATAAACAGCCTGAATATCAAGAAAAATCCACACATCATAAGTCACGGTGTTAAGAAATCAGAAACCTAATTGCAGTATGAATGTTGCCAGGAAAGTATAGAAATGGGAAACTGAATATTTACTCATCGAAGCAACACTTGAACCATGAAAGCAAACATTTCTATTTGGAGCTTGAAGTCCAGAAGGACTGAGTGACAGCTTAGAATCCAAGCTTCAAAGAAGTTCAACAATCACCATTTCTTCAGGGAACCAAAAAGGAAGTAGGGCCAATTAACTTAGCTCTGGAAGTTTACTTTGATGAGCATAAACAGACACTAGAAGTCCTTCTAGAATATTCTTTGCACAGTAGTTTATAGAGTCTTAACTTCCAATAACCTTTTTATGCCAAAGGCTTCAACAAGCCCCATTGTAACCCATTCCCCCTTCAAAAAAGGCTTTCTGTAACTCAAGACTGGAAAGTAGATGGATGTTGTTTAAGAAGTCTTTGGAGGGAAAATATCTAGTTAACAAAAGTCTCTGGCAGAAAACAGTTTGAAAAGCCTTTGAAAACAAGCAGTAAGCAGTGAGTGAGCTAAACCAGGGACCAGAAGGGAGCAACTGTCCAGGTCTGACCCTGAGTGCTGTGGTCCGACGCCCCTGGGTCTGAACCTGGGCTCTGGCCTTGACTCTCTATGTGACCTGGGGCAAGTGTTTTAACTTTCTTGGCCTCAGTTTCCTGAATAGTTGTTAAGAATTAATTTAAATGGAGACACATATATTGCTCCTAGCACCGTGCCTGGTATATAATAAATCTTCAAAAAATAAGTTACATTAACAACAACAACAACTCCATTTCAATGTTTCTTTATGAGACAGGCCTGTGGCATGGTGTTTGAGTTGGAGTCTTTGTTCTTTGGAGTTTTTGTTCTTTGGAATTCCCTGGTTCTAAGCATACGGAAGCAAACCCTTGGGCCCTTAGAAAGCCCTCAGAATCCTCAGGACTCTTTGTGTTTGGGTTTTGGCATCATTGCTTACAACCACCAGTGTGAGTCTGTTGGACTCTGCCTGGGGCCATTTTTCAAGCCCTTGGGAAGACAGTTGCTGAGAAGTGAAGAAAAACTGAAGCATGGATGAAGGGAGAGGAGGCGAATCCCTGGGGAAACATGTTCAGATGTGCCTTTCCCATAGAAAGGTGGCTCTCGTCACTCACGTCATCTCCTGAGGGAGGTGAGGAGAGTGGGGGTTGTGCATGAGCATCAAAATAAAGCTCTACCCTGGGAGAGGGGCTCAGTCTGAATCTGGGGCCTGGTGCTGATACCCAGACAGACCATCCACAAATAGGGAATGCAGGGCCAGCCAAGCGGGGTGTCCTTAGAGCTCTGTCCCCCTCGACCACTCAGATTACCCACTCAATGCTAAGAACCTATATTTGGGTCTCACTACCTTCGGGGGAGGGTCTGGAGCAAGGCAGGGCCCCGGCACCTGCCTCAAAGATTCCTCCTCCTTCTCTCCTGCTTCCAGTTTATATGCAAGTAGAAGGTGCTCCTGGCTTGTCCACCAGCCTGTGTGTAACTCTGTCTCTCAGGCTCTGGTCAACTCTGGGAGAACAGCCAAGATTGAAGGCCTGGCCCTGCAAAGCTAGGGCCAGCGTGGCCTGTCCCAGCAGCCATGCTCATCACCTGTCCTGCCAGCGTTGAGCCACATTCATAACCTCACAGCTGCACACCCCTCCCTGTCTCAGCCTGTTTGTCTCCAGTTTTGAAAATATGCAAAGAAGTTGTTTTAATATCAGAAAATGCAGAGAAGCAAAAAAAAAAAATCCACATTCCCACTATCCTGATATAACAAGACTGACACCACTTCCAGCAATAGAATAATACAGAACAACAATTTAAAAAATCACCCCAAAAATCTTTCTCCAAAGGCTAGTATTCAACTATTTGAATACTTTGTGTGTGTGGGTGCGCATGCGTACCTTTGCCTGCATGTGTTTCTCCTTGGTCTCTATGGTTTTTCCAGGCCCCTCTTACTTTATGATGTCCTGTGCTGAACACAAACGCCTGGAAGGGTTTTGACCAGCACAAGCAGAGCTCTCCAGCTCCTCTCTGGGTTTGTACCTCAATATTTCTATCCTTTCTAGGAATGCCTCCCAGGAACAAGTCGACTTTGAGAATTTATATGCAATTTGGGGTTTGCTATGACTCCCAGATTCATGAGACAGGGTCTATAAGGCACATCTGGCTAGAACTGCCCACCACTGCAGAATCTATAAGGCAGTAGGCCTCAGGTGCCACCTACCTGGTAATCCATGGGCCTCCCGGCACTTGGCTCCATCTTGATGTCTGGCTTAGATCTGAGGAGGAGAAGGTACCATCAGGCCTGGTGGAAGGGGTGTGCTTGTGGGGAGGAGGGTGGTGGCAGGGTTAGAGCTTGCAGTAGGGTGGAGGGATAGAATCATGGTCTGCAAACCCCTAAGAAGAATGCCAAATAGAATGAGGATTAATTGTCCTCAGAGGTCCCCATAGGAGAGGACTAACCAAAGATAGAAGTAACAGGGGCCAGACATGAGGCCACCAGGCTGAAATGAGGGCTGGCAGCTCCGTGCCTTCCCTGGCCTGGAGGTGTTCAATGGCTTGGGAACAGGATGCAGCAGCTGCATTCTGCCTGTGCAGGGAAGGGGTGAGAGGGATACCCAGGGAAAAGAAGAAGGGGAGGGGACAGGAAAGGGCAGTCCATGGGGCCTGATTCTTCCCCACACAAGTTCTGAGCCTGGCAACTGAGATCCTTTCTGGTACAGTGGAGACAGTTGGGGATGCTGGGTTCATGCCAACTCACCGCTTGTTGGAGACATTGGTGGTGAGGGCAGTGACTGAGGCCAGAGACACTGAGTCAGGATCCAGCCCATCTCCCAGTCGAATGGCCAAGTGGTCAAGGTCCTCCATCTCCAGCACTGCTGGTTCATCTGGGGAAGAAGAAGGGCTGGTTAGGTGGGTGGCAAAGCTAAGAATCAAATTTAAGGTTTACTTGGTAGCATCTGCTTTGAATGGGAGGAGGGTGGTGGCAGTGTATACTTGCAGTGTTTTCTACCCAATCTTGGTCTTTTATTTTTGATACTATGTTTGGTCTCATTTTCTTTTTTATTTTAGTTGAATATAACTCTTTCATTAAACACTATTTACTAAAGTGGAAGAAGGTAGGGAATAAAGAATCCATACTTACATGGATAACAACTGCTACCTTTAATTGAGTGGTTACTAAATGCCAGGCACTTTACCCATGAATCTCTAATCTTTATAGGGAACACCTGCCAAGGTAGGCATTATATTCATGTCATAGATGGGAAAACTGAGGTTTGTGAGGGATCTTATCCATGCAAAATAGTTGATGAAATTCAGGACCCAGCCCTGTACTGGTGTGTATTAACACACTGAGATGAAGAAATGACAACACCGAAAAGCCACCCAAAGGTGGTGAGTGTGGGCCTCAGCCAGCAGTAGCACTCTCAGTCTACGGAGAAGGCACAGCAGTAACTGGCAAGTAGCAAGAGGTAAGGACAGAGATTTGGGGGACTAGTGGGCCACAGAGAAAATGCTGGAGATGGTGGCCAGGAGACTGAGAGTGGGCACGTGAAGGACAGGTGGCTCCCACCCAGCTCTCCTCTTCACCACATTTCTCCTCTTCTGTCTGTCCCCCTTTCCTCCTGTTGGACATCTGTCCTTCCCTTCCCCAGCAGCATTCTCCCTGAGGGACTAGTGCCACAGGCCACTCCAGCCTGCCAGGACCTGCCAGTTGGCTGAGGCCAGGCTGCAGCCTAGTGAGAGGACGGTGACTTCTTCCAGTGAGAAAGCACTCCTAGGACTCTGGTTCCCCCCACCCCACAAAAGAATTGGCTAAAAACTGTTTCCTGCTATTTATTCCCTCCGATTAAACATCCCTGGGTGGTGTAAAGAACAAAGGATAGGGGAGAAGTGAGGACAGGAAGCCTCCATCCGGAAGAGGGCTCTCTGCCCAATTCCAGACTAGTGGTGGTGCCAAAGGGCAGTGCCCATCCCGACCCCTGGAGCACCATCCTTAGAGGACTTGGGCTCTCAGGGCGGGGCCTGGCTCCAGCCAGCCAATGGGAGGCCAGACCCCGCCCAGGTGGCTCTGGTTGAACCAATCCCAGAAAGTCCTGTTTGGGACCTGCCCAGGGGGCGGGGTTTGATGTGATCAAGTGCGGAAAAAGTGGTTGAGAGGTCAGGACGAGCCACCTTCGGGGCCAGGTGCCCTACCTTGTCTTTGGGGGTCCTCCTTGTGGGGCCGGTTCTTGCCGAGCTTCATGGCGGAGAACACGCTCCTCCCGGCTCTGTGAGGGGGCCGCCAGAATGAGGTGGAGGGAGATGGACGCACAGAGGGAAACACACCAACACCCAAGAGCCAGCCGGGGTGGGGACACGGAGAGAAAGGGTGAGGGGTACCCGGGCCCCTCGGCTACTGGTCCCAAGATACATGGGTATGTGTGTCTTACTTCCCAAATTGGGAGCCACAGGGGAAGTGGGGCAGAGGGAAACCCCACTGCCTGTCCTTGGTGCCAAGGAGGGGGGCGGGCCCAGCTAAAGTGGCCTGGAGCTGGAAGGAGGTGTTACCTAGAGCGCCTCTTCAGCTCCCTCAATCCAGTCTTCTCAGAGCTCCCGAGCTCTACAAGGTCCCCAAGCTCATCCTCCCTGTCCCTGCATCCCACCCTAGCTGGTTGGAAAGCAAGCCAGATGATCAGAGACATAGTATCAGAACAGAAGGGCAGGGCTCAGGGGGCTGGGAGAAGCCAGCTGTTCAGTTCTCAGATGGCCCAGGTGCCCCATGCCTGCTTTGCATTCCCCCTGCCTCTCTGTGGCCTGGGATTCTCCCTGGTCCCAGCGAAGAGGAGACTGCCCTTTCCCATCTCTCTTTAGGGCTTTCGCCTCTTCTGCCTGTCTCTTCTCTTTCAGAAACCCTTTCCCCACCCCCAGGAACTTATGGCAGCTCCATGGTTCCTACCTCTTTTTCTGGCTTGGTGTGGCCTTGTGCCCCAGAGGTAGTAGTGGGGGGGGTGGCTGAGGGAAGAGGGCAGGAGTCCTCACTGCCCTTCAGTGATGTCCCTGTAGCTGAGCCTGAGGTCCTTGGAGCCAGGAGGGACCAGCAGTAGGATCGGCAGGGGGTAAGGTGTAGTATTCCATTACCCCATCCATATTACATGAGCGGGACACCTGACTCCTGTACTTCCCCTTCTCCTCCCCTGGATGTGACTGCCATCCTTTAGGTCTCACTGGGGAAAGGAGCAGGCCCACCCCTGACTGGCTTATTACAGAGCCCACCATCTTTGTGTCTGCATCTCCCTGTGGAGGCTTGACAGTTTTTAAGCCCCCACATCCCTGCTCTTTATGCTGTATAATGTGAGGTTGGAGAGAACCTTTCTGTTCTTTTAGAAATGTCCTAGAAATCTCAAGTTCCTCAACCCCAGATAAGCCAATCTTATTTCCCAAACCTGGCTCTATCTTAAACCCAGGATTTTCTTTACTCTTCAGATACTAGGCAAGGCATGTCTGTATCCCCCGAGAGGCAATCAAAACCACCCCTTTCACATGACATCAGCTTACTAACATGTTCATAAAGAAGGATAGAAGAAGGCTGAGGTGACAGTGGTATGTCTCCCCTTGACAGTATCCTATTGTTTAGGGAATAACAATGTGAAGAAAGGGGTCTATGAAAGGAAGCTGATGTCTTTCGAATTATCTTAACTGTAACATTAAGAGAGTAAGTTATACACTCATACCTGTAAAACGTACAAAGTGGCCAAACCATAGTATATAACTTATAAACAAAAGTATAAAACTTTTCTTGAGCAACTACTGTGGGCCAAAGGCTCTTCCAGATGTTTGCTCATTTCATATTCCTAAGAATCCTGTGAAAGACATATACTTCTCATTTATCCAAGGAAAAGCTGAGGCTCAGAGAGATGAAAATGACTTCACTGTCCCACGTAAGTGGCAGACTTGGGATTGAAATACAAAGCTCCTGTCTCCTAGTGGCAGTATATTCACTTTGTGCTGGCTTTAATGCTTGGGGCTATTCTGAGTGTGAATCCCATCCTGACCATGGGGACTTTGGCAGAAAGGTTCCAGGGCCTGTTGCCATGGCAATTGTGCCAGCACAATTTGCAGATTGGGTTGTCGTCTGTGAAGAGTCCCACATAGAAGGGGCTCATTCAAAAACAACCCGAGCATCAACACATTTGGAAAGAGAAAGCTATATTTGTTAAGTTGCTGGTAACATAGCATTGGGCAGATCAATAAACCCATCAGAAACAATGGCATGGTAGCAGGCAAAGGGGCCATGTGTTTGACCTACCCACAAGCATCCTGTGGTATCTCACCCCTTTGGGGGCAGGGTGCCAGCTATATGCTGACCTCTGCAACAGGCCTGGCTATAGGAAGCTTGACTAGTGTGGACCCTCACTCTACTCCATGTCTCCCCACCTGTCCCTTCCTGTCTCTGTGTTTGGGACTCCTTTCTGCCCAGCTTCACTGTTCATTGACTTCTCCTCTTGAATCACCCAGGAGTCTCCTGGAGGTTCAGTCTTTGCCCTTGTACAATCTTGTCTTAGCCATTCCTAGACTGGGCCATTCTTAGAATCCTCACTCCATGTGTGAGCTGCACAGTGTCATCATCATCACAGTCTGCTCCAGTGGCTTTCTGATGCTGATCCCATGTACCCACCCACTGCCCCCCACCATTTGAATTAGAAAGTCACTTTATTCTTTAAAACAAACATCATTGGAAGTAAGATTGATACTTTTAAAAAAACTATAGTTATCCAAAAATCTCTACCACACCCTGAAGCAATTCAAGAGAGAAACCCCTCCTTCCCAGTTCTATATTATTTAACCATCTGAAGTTCACTGATAGTATTCTGGGAATGTCTCAAAATGACATGCTTGTCTCTTGATGAAAAATGTGGAAATGTGTGATGATAGATATAATTTCCGGAGGATCTGTGCCTCTGCTGGTTTCTTCTAGACTTGGTCATCAGTGACCTGCACCATGGGCAATAGAGTATAATGTCATTGCCACTGCCTTTGTAGTTTTCTGATTACTGACATATCAGAAGGTCACTACAGGAAAAGCCCCTCCTGCCTTAAACCAGCACCAGTTCCTAGCAAGCAGTGTGCTGGGCTCTCTTGGCAAAGGTAAAGGAGATTTTTTAAAAAATAAATGTTAACTTAATCAGGGGTTTTTGAAGAGTATCCACTTGTCTTTAAAGACTCCTTTAAAATATGTATTTTTTGTTTCTGTTGTCCTGAAACTTATAAAAAATTTTGAAATTAAAATTCTACATTTCATCTAATTGGGTTCTGCAATCATTGAAGATAGAATGTGGTAAGAAACAGACAAAGAAGCCAATAATCAACTCAGTGAAAAACTACTTTGGAATCAAGTGGCTCCTTATTCATGGGCACATTAAACTTGAGAAATAGGAGCAGAGGGAGGGTGGCCTCTTAGGATGCTCTGAAGATTTATATTCACATTTGTTCCCCATGGCTGGGTTCACCACAGTTAGAATGATATATCTAGAATTCTCTCTAGAGGACATATTTTAAAATTAGTGCACTCACTGTAAACTCTTCATTTATGGATCTGGTGATTTCTCACGGCCCAGGGCTTATGCCCCACGATTGGCTTCAACTGGAATTGCCAGGGAATTGCCAGGCCTTAGGTAACTGGGATAAAAACAAACTCCTATGTAAGAGAAGCAGGGTCTGTGATGCTTCTTTGCACTGTGTAAGCAACAAGATTTTAAAAACTTGGGGACATGTTTCTAAGCGCCCTTGATGGCTTTATTTCCTTTATTTTCCATGCCCCAAGTACAGTAAATTTCATAATTCTACATTTCATCTAATTGGGTTCTGCAATCATTGAAGATGTCTCTGAAAGTGTGTTGAATTTCATTTAGTTTTGCAAATAGCTTCCTATGCAGGAGGATAGGAGGATCCTTCACCCAGAACCACTTGTCTCTAAACTGACCTGTTTGCACCAGTTGCACCGGTTCTTGAGAGACCCACAGGAACTTGTCCTGACCCTAGGAGTGCTAGGGGTCCTCAGTGCTCCTCATGTGTCTACTATTATACAAAACTTAAGCAAACAGCATCATGGAAATACATTTTCCATCTTTCCAAAGTGACTTATCCCAGTGAGCAGACCTTCTTTTGTGGATCGAATCTTGAATTTCCCCTACTGCAGCTTACATCTATTACCATTTATTTCCCCTCAGTGTAGATAAAAACTAACCAGCTTTGCCGCACCATCTCATTTCAGAGACTGCAGTCTCTTCTCTTCCCAGGCCAGAGCCTTGATTTGTTTACTCTCTTAGAAATCCCATTTCCCTACTCTTCCTTAGTCTTATTATGCTCCACATTAAAATAATAATACATGCTGGTTTGCTTTATCTCATATGATAATGGGAGATGGCAAAGAGCTAGTGGAGGTTGGACTAGGGAACCAGAGCATATTATGGGCCCACTATCAGGACAGACTGGGGAACTGGACATCAAGAAGGGCATTGCGATCTCACACAGAGCCCTGGGTAGACGGGTGACTTATGTCTCATATATAACCTTTGAAATTTAAGAATCCCTGAGGCCTTTCTCTAGGAGGAACTCCCCTTCTGCATCCCTATCATTTCCCATTTGCCCTGGAGTTCAGCTCCCTGGTTTCCTCTCCAAGCCTTGCCATGCGCTCTGCCTGAGGCTTCAGCAAACTCTTACAACCCTCATGTCCCTGGGTGGAGCCGGTGGAGCCATCCCCGCGTGGTGTGGTTGCCTCCATCACTGTAGCCTTAATGCTGTGTAGTCATAGCTGTTGCTTGTGGGTTACAGGCGAGATGGGAACTCAGGGTACTTATGGTAAAGCATGGGAGAGGCTATGAGTTCCTTGGGATCTCGATGTCAACAGGTGCCCCAGGCACAGCGCCCATCAGTGTGAACTCTAGACACACAATGGTGGCATTTCCATGGTATCCTCACATGAACTAATTTTTAACTTATTGGAATTACAGTTCTGGGAAAATCTCTGGGGCTCAGTTTCCCTCTCTAGAAGATAATGATCGTGGTCCTGGCTTTTCAGCCTCATTGGTATATCTGGAGATTTAATTAACTATAGTCAAGTGCTCTAAACTTCTTGGGTCCATGGTGAGCTCTGGGGGTGGGGGAGGGGGTGGGACTCCCTGTGTGTTAGTTCCATCTCTGTCCCTATCTCCTGAAACTCAGATTTGTTATCTGTAAAAAAGGGAGTTGGCCAGAGGTCCCCTCCAGTGCCCTGACTATTACTGCCCTTGTGAATTTGCCTTGTGATGCTTTCTCCAAGTGACAATGTGCCTCTGGGGGAGCCCACGAGCCCAAGGTAATCTGAGGCCTCCTGCCTTGACAGACCCGGATGGCTGGCCCTGCCCTTCTGTCATCTCCCAGACAGTCCTCATGTCTCCTTTCCCTTTGGGGAGTGGAGATTGCGAGGCTACCAGAGAGTGGCTATTTCTCCTTAGCTTTCTGGGTATCATGCTCCGGCATACCTTACAGCCACCCAGTGCCCACAGCCTGTCTTCCTTGGGCCTCCACTGCTGTCTGTCCAACTGCCCAGCCCTGGCTAGACTGGCAGCAGTGTGTGTGGGGATGACTAGTGGCTTCTTTTGCATCCCATCCTTTGCCTCGAGCCTCACCTTCCCTCGCAGGGAAGCTTAAAGGCCTGACTCACAGGAGTGGCAAGTGAATCGAAATATGGGCAAAGAACAGGACACTTTTGAAAGGTGATGGGGTCACTCCCAAGAACCAAGAGTGGAAACCGGAAAGCCTGGCCACCTGCCCGCCCCCCTCCCCCTCCCTTCTCCTCACCCCCCTCCATGGTCCATGGACTGACCTCCCTCGCCCTGCATGCTCCCATGCTGGCTCCACCAGGACAGCCCATGCCTAAGCACCCTCAGATGGGCCCATCCCGCCCTCGGCAGCCCTGTGGTTAGGAGCTGGCACCCACCGGCTCTGCCCTGGCCTGGGACACCTACTTGTGCTCGCCATCTCTGCCTCCCTTGGTCTTCTCTCTGCCTTTGCTGAGTAGGGAGAAGAAATAAGGAGACAAGGGGATGCAAGTGAGAGGATGTGGACCAGAGACACTTGCAGTTTTAGACCCTGGCCCTGTGGACCTCCATACTCCCTAGGGTCCTCCTTGTCCCACAGACCCTCACCCACAGCTTTTGCTATAACAAACCAAAGTGTGCTGGGCAGGGATCACATGGCCCTCAGCTTTGCCTTGGAGAGAGGGGAAGGGCCTGGGGTACCAGCCGATCCCTTCTACCCCAGGCTACAGGCTGGTGATTATGGAAAGTGGGTTGCAGGTTCTCCAGGGCCTTTTCTTCCCCCACCTCCTTCCTTCATCCTGAGCTCCCAGGCGATGGGGTCCTTCAGGGAAATAGTGGGCTGAACCTTCTTCAAGAGGGTTAAGGGTACTGGGGTGCTGTTAGAAGGACATCTGGCCTTTGAGAAGAAAGGTGGGATGGGGGCAGTTAGTAGGCTACTACTCCAGGGCTCAGAGCAGTGGAAGAATGGTGTTCCTTTAGGGAGGCTTCTAGCAATGCTTCTGGAATATTCCTCTCAATGCTTCCTCAGTGAGGATGAAGGAAAGAAAGCAAATAACCATTAGCAGATTTTCCCCCTTCTCACATACTGTCCTGACACAGACCTTGCCCTGGTAGACCTGATCACACACCCTGACAGCTCTGTCTCAGGAGACCTCCAGACACTCGGTCAATGCCCTGCACTAGCTGGCTAACCACGCAAGCAGATCAGTTTGTAATTCAGAGAGGTCAATATTAGCCAGGTCTCTGGCTGCCACAGTCAGCTGAGACTACTGAGTAGAGAAGAGCTCACTCTGGAGTGGGGACACTGTCTCAGAGGCCCTGTGCTGGCCCAGCCTGACTGGTCTGGGATCTGGTTGTTGTTGGCACCCACAAGGGCCTCTGAAGGCTGCTAGGGCTTGCTCAAGGGAGCAGGGGCTCCAGTGAGCCATTGCTCAATGGGAAATTTGCTGATCTCCATCTTCACATTAATCCAAGGAGAGTAGCTTTTCTCTGAGTTGCTATTTGAGCTTCTGAGGAAGAGGTGCATTCCCCCTCCCCCACCCTGTACTGGTGATTGAACCCTGGGGCCCTCTAACACCGAGTTACACCCCAGTCCTTATTTTATTTTAAGACAGGGCCTCAAAATGAGTTGTACAGGCTGACATCAAACTTGGGATTCTCTTGCCTCATCCTCCCTAGTGGCTGGGATCATAGGAGTATGCCATTGTGCCTGTCTCATTTTTGTATTTTAAAGAATGCTGTGACCCTGGAAAATCTGTCAGCCTCTTGCAACAGAGGAACCAGGAGGGGAGGTCCAACACCGGGGAGTGGGCAAGAGTGGGCAGAAAGGTGGACTCAGTGTACTGAACAACAGGCATTGAGGCTTTTCTCTTTTATTTTGGTCTTTGCTCTAAAACTTCAGAGATGTTAGGTTCACTCAGTGGGGGATTTCTGTTCCTCTCTCCTCCTTACCTATTCCAGGCCTCAGACCCAACAAAGGGAACACACACAGGCCCATACTCCCTGAGTGAGGAAACAGAGAAGGGAAAGGGCTATGTCTTTCTTTGAAGAAAGAATACTTTTGTGATTTTACTACGACACTGTTACTGCTGCTGTCAACATTAGCAGCAGGCTCTGCCATAGTTAATCTGCCTTGTGAAGTGGACTTTCTTCTTGTCTGTTTCCAAGTGAGCTTGCAGAGGCTCAGGCTGCCGTTATTCAGTCAGCCAGCAAACCATGACTTCAGGTTCCATTTGTTTGGGGAAGCCCTGGGTGAACTTGAACTCCCTCCTAGAGTCCACATGGTGGTTTTGGTGTCCCTTCCTGGTTGGGTAAGTTCTGTTCCTCAGCCAGCATTCTAGCATTCTCTGTGTGAGTCTGGCACTCAGCCTTAGCTCAACTCTACCTCTTCTTTAAGCCCCATCCCCATCCCCATCCCTCTTTTCATTGTTAAAAGCAGCCACAGAAGAGCAGGATCAACATGGCGACCCTGTGGGGATTCTAGTGCTTATTAGGGCCCAGGTACTTCATGGTGGTAGGCCTCACTAGGTCTTGGGCTGGGGATGGCCCAAACATCAGGTGGAGCAATGGGGTTGGAGAGTAATCTCCTGAGCCCCATTCACCCGTGATCTGGCATGACTGGCTGATCCTGGCTCCTCTGGAGCTGTTGTATGTCTGGAGCGAGCCTGGTGAAGGGATGCAGGGAAGGCTCTTCTAGCTCTCTGGGAGTGGAGGGTACTGATAAAGGAACACTGAGGGCGAGGCAGGGTGTACTGCACCTCTACACACCTGCCATACTCAACCCTAGCACACAGCTGTGTACCTCTCTCACAGCCCCTGGCCTTCCATACATGCCTGTCTCATTTTTGTATTTTAAAGAATGATGTGTCATTCTGTCTCAGACATGACGGGTAGGTCCTTGGCTTCTACAGATCTCCACTGGAGTGGAAGAATGTCCATAGGTAGATAAAAAGAACACCTCTTGTCATTCCTCTTCCCAAATGAGACTCAGCAGAGAGCAGCCTAGAAGGAGGCCCAAGTAATGGAGGGTTGGAGGGCTAGAGCAGGTAGAATATGAGAAGGGGCAAATGTTTCAGAATACAGGGAATCTGGAGAAAATGTCCAGGCAAGATTAAAGCTGAGGCTCCTTTCTTTGTTCTAAGAGACAGAGTCACAACAGAGGTCAGCATCCAGCGCCGTGTGCCACTCCCTGTTGTCACATAAAGTGTATGCATGTGAATGTGTGTAAACACATGGGCATTTTTGTGTCTTTGGGGCCAAAGTCACCTGTCTTTCCAGAGACTGAGGCAATGTGTGCCAACTAGCAGGGTTTGAACCCTGATTTTGTGCTCCTGAAAGCAGAGGGCTTATGAGAACTGTGGAAGTGGGGTAAATGAGACTCCTGTCTCTGCCCAGGGGGCCGAATCTCCTGTGTGGACAACATTCAAAGACCCCTTGCTATAGTGTGTCAGCACTGAGAAGGGACTTGGACCAAAAGGTGCTGCTTGCTCATTTGGGGTCAGGGTAATGTGGAGCCTGAAGAGGAAGAAAATGAGGGCTGCCTGAGCACCTGTCACCTGCCAGGCACTATGGTGACCACACGATTACCTCTACTTCTCCCAACACTCCCGTGGGTATCGGGGAGCCCGTCTTACATATGGGAAGGTGGGCTCCAACAGCAGAGCTGGAGGCTCTCGTTGTACTGCACTGTATCCTGGCAGGATTCTGCCTCCTGGGGGAGTTTTACGAGAGCCGACAGGAACCAGAGGCCCCTGATTGGAGGCAGGGACTAGAGATGTGGGCAGAATAGATCAGAGGTCATGCCACTGAGCTGGGCCTAGGAGAGGTGGAACTGTGGGAGCAGAGGGTTCACAGGCAGTGGCTGGGTTGGGGGTTGACTGCAAGGCCTGGAGACAGGGTGTGGTGACAATAGCCAACCCCACGGTGCTCTCAGGCCTGGACTGGTGCCCCCATGGCAGGCCGGGAAAGTGTGTGCTCTCACCTGCCCTCCAATCAGGGTGGTGGCACCTGGAAGACAAGAAGCTCTGGCAGATGCTGTCACCCTTGCTCAGTTCCCAGTGGCTTGGATGAAACCCCTCATCCTGCTGCTGCTTCCTGGGAGTAGCCATGTGAAGGTGGGGGCGGGGAGGGAATGGCGGGCTGTGCTGAGGGGAAGGGTGGGAGGAGCCCTCTAGCTCTATGTCCTTGGTGCCCAGAACTCTCTGGGGGTCTCAGAACTGAGTTACATCTTGTTTTTCTAGGCCCCCTTCTGTAGGACTGGCTTGGCATTACCTGTGCTAGAGCCACCTACAGAGCCAGCCCTTGGCCACCAGGAGCTCCCAAGAGAGCTGCTTCCTATGGATGCTACCTACAGGATCCAGAGCACCCTGGGTCCCTCAGGATGTCAGAGTTGAGGGCCCAGCATGCCAATCTGCTGAACTCATGCTTACTACTGTCCTGAGGGGTTGGTGACATACCCAGAGTCACTTAGCTGGGGAGTGGCAGAGTCATGATGGAATGTAGCTCTCGTGATTCAGGTCAGCACTCCTGTCCCTACAACTGATGACCCTCTTATGCTTCCAATCATGTCCTGATAGAGCCCTTTCTTAGAGGTCTCCTGCAGTCTCTGAACCAGCCCTGCTCAGCTCTTCCTTGAGTGGAGTCAGTGGATGGGGACCAAGTGGTAGTCAAGTGTCAGCAGCTCCTCGGCCCTACTGGGTCTCTGCTCCTCCCCTCAGCATTCTAACTCCATTCCTGATCCTTTGCATGGTCCAGGACAAAGAACCGATTGTCACCAAACCCTCCCTGGCAGTACTTGGCTCCTTGATTACAACTCATTCTTGAGGGTCCCCTTGGCTCTCCTGACAACAGGGCTGGGGTTTTCATGGCTTTTCCTATTTTAAAGTTGAAAGGACAGGGTCAAAAAGGTTATGTGACTTGCCCAGGGCCA